TTAGCTTAATGAAATGAAGACAACCATCATGGGACTAGTAGATAATTTTGAATATGAATTTTTGAATATGAAGACTGATACCGATTAACATATAATTACAATAAAGGCCAAATAAGGTAAAAAACCAAGAGCTTCTTTATCCAATCACAACACATCAGGATAAGGAGACCTCTTGATAATTTGGTACGTGCCATTTTAAGACAATGAACCTTACTCCAAGTGAATATTTACTTGAAGAAATTGTTCAGGTATAATATAAATATGATTTAAGAAATTCATGAGTAGCAAAAAGCTATGTCGGATTATTTTTTAAAAAATTAGAAATGACTGGATTAAGTAATTTTTCTTTCTCACGATAGAATAATTGTTATCAAACAATCTCATTCTGCTACTGTCAAAGACAAAATCCTGAGACTGCATAGCTTGATAGTCAACAATCTAGAGTTATGGAGTCTATCTATTAGCCATGTGTGGCTATGGAGAACTTAAAATGTGGGCTAGTGTGACTCAGGGACTGAAATTTAAATTTTATTTAATTTACATTTAAATGTTTTTTAAAAAGCATGTGGCTAATGGCCACAATATTAGACTGCACTGAGAACATTCCCATTATCACAGAAAGTTTTATGAAACAGAGCTGACCTACAACAATTTAAAAACTTTTCAATTTACTCCTCTCTGCTGAGAAAATTCACTCTTATTAATAAGTAATCTTAGCAAGATGGCGGCTATAAGCTCAAGATGCAAAAAAACTATTGCGTTTCTATAAACCAGCCATCAAAGAGAGAGCTTGAGAGTCATTTAAAATAGAAAAAAGTTACCTGCAAATAAATGTAAATAAAGATATGCAAAACATTTATGGAGAAAACTATATTGAAAGATATTAAAGAAATCCTAAATAAATGGAGAGATATACCTTGTTTATAGATAGGAAGACTCACCATAATGATATAAATGCTCCTTAACTTCATTTACACATTAAATACAATTTCAATCAAAATACTTAACAGGTTTCTGTGGAACTGTTAATTCTATAATGTATATGAACAGGCAAATGCTCAAGAATAGCTTAGACAGTCTTAGAGAATGTAATGTAGAAGGATTTGCTCATCAGATATGAAAGATATTATAAAGTTTTATTACTTAAGACAGAATCATATTGTTTCAGGATAGTCAAATAGACTCATGGAACAAAATAAAGACATAGAAATTGACCATAACATATTTGGAAATCTGGTAAATCACAGAGAAGTCACTGCAGATTACTGAGACGAAGGTGAATTATTTAATAAATGGTCTTGAGAACCTTAATTATTCACAGGAAAAAAAGAGAAATTGGATCACATATGCAAATTAGTTCTAAAAGGATTAATGGTTTGAACAGAAAATAAACAAAAATACACTACACCTTCTAGAAGACAATTTACAGTGGTATCTAAATAATATCAAACCAGGAAGGGGCATTTTAAATAATATAAAAAAGCACTGAATAAAAGACAAATTTGATTTCATTAAAATTAGGATGTGCTATCATAGGAGACCAGTAAAAAACTGAGAAGACAAGCAAAACCTGGGAAAAGTTATTTGCATTATATACAGTTGATAGAGGACTATTAATCTGATTATATTTTTAAAACAATGAGAAGTAAATATGAAAAAGATGAAGAGAAAAATGAACAAAAGATGTTTTCTGGAATTTCTCAGAATAGGAAACACAGGAACTATTAAAAAAAATGGAAAGATTTTCAGTCTATGGTAATTAGAGAAATGCAAATAAAAACTATTATGGACTTAACTGTGTTCCCCCAAATCTATATGTTAAAGCATCAGCACTCAATGTGATTGGAGATAGGACCTTTAAAGAGGTAACTTACGTCAAATAAGGTCATAAGTCTGGGACCCTAATTAAATGTGACTGTAGTCCCTATAAGAAGAAGAGACACCACAGTTGCGTGCATACAGAGCAAGGGCCACGAGAAGAGGAAGGCAGCTGCCTGCAAGTCAACGAGAGAGGCCTCAGAAGAAACTAAATCAGCAAACACCTACCTTGACTGCTAGCCTCCAAAACTGTGTAAAAATACATTTCTGTTGTTTAAACCACAAAGCCTGTGGTATTTTGTTATTGTGGCCTTGGCAAACTAACACAAAGAAAAATTGACGTTTTTATACCAACTAGATTGGCCAATCTAACTAGAAAGGCTGTAGAGAAATAGGACTGCAGCTTAATTCAATACCACTGGAAAACATTTTGGCATTATCTTCTAAAGATTAATATTCAAACTACCAATGACCTAGAAGTTCTACTCTTAGTTATGTATGTTGAGATAAATCTTGCACGTGTACCAGGAGACATTAAAATAAATGTTCACGTAGTGTTGTTTACAAAAGATCCAAAACACCCCAAATATCACCAACAAGATAATAAACAAATTTTTTATATTTACATAACATGATATCATATAGTGATAAAAATGAACAAGCACTAGTTAAACAAAATTGATAAATCTTAGAAGCACAATGTCGAGTGAAAAAAAGCAAGCACAGAAGGTTATATAAAGTATGCCAATTTTATAAGACTCAAAAAACAAGCAAAGTCATATATATAGTAAAAAAATATATAAATATTAAGTGAATGGAAAATATAAAACCAAGAGCAGAGTTACTTTTTTGGTGTCAGCACAAAGGAAGAACCAGGGGAGAGTATAAAGAAAGATTCAGCAGTTGTTGACTCTAGTTCCTAGTGTTGGTGGTGTGTTTGTGTGAGTTTATTTTATTGTATTTCATAACTTATATACATTTGCACATATTATTTTACATGTATCAAATATTATATGATAACATTTTGAAGTAAAAATCTTCTAGATGGCAAATATAGACATTACTTATAGAGATGAAGGTTCACTCCATAAAAGCATATGTATTTATTTATAAATATTTTATACTTAGACACCTTTCAGCTATGAAATTCTTCCCTGCTCGTATGAAGACATTATGTTCCATAATGAAGTCTCCTACTTTGGGACAATTTTCTATCTTTATTTATGTGACACTATTGCTTTGGCTGTCTAGAAATTTTAAAAACAACTGATAGCTATATCTCTTGTTCCCAAGAGAATGAAGAAAAAGAACAGGGTGTGGGAGGCAATCTCATAGGTTACTGATAAAATACATACAAATACAAAAATGGTACATAGTTAATACCCCATCTAGCAACTGAGAATTATCATTGTAAGCATATATGAATAACTGATAAAAAGAATAAAATAATCAAATATGACTAAATTTTCTCTTATTTTGAAATAAGTTCCAGGGTGCTATTTTAGATCATTAATTCACCTTTACATTTGGGACTGTGTGTGTTTTGGTTTTGTGATAACTGGATTATGATACATTTTACATTTCATTCTTTAATGAAATGGCTTTTGTTTTCCTTTGGGAAGGCAGAAGATAGCAACGGCACAATATAGAAAAATAGCTGCCGCAGTACTATGATTATGCTACCTGTTGAAACATATAAATAACACTTTTAGCAGCTCGTGATTCTGAAATTGTCTTTAACTGTGTCACTATAAAAATGTTCTAGCAAATATATTTTGTGGTAAGGTGACTATAGCCAATAACAATGTATTATATATTTCAGGATAGCTAGAAGAGAGAATTTGAATTCTATCACCCCAAAGAAATGATAAATGTTTAAAGTGATGGATATGCTAATTATCCTGATTTATCAATGTATACAGGCATTGACACGTTACATTGTACTCCATAAATATGTAAAATTACTATGTCTATTATACATTTTACATTTTTTTAAAAAAAACAAACACCGTTTGTAATTAATATAGTAAAGAAGCTTGTCAGAAGGATTTTCTACCCATTCCCAAGACATTGAATAGTAAGTCTAAGGAAGGTACTATGCCTAAATGTAAAGGATAATATGAATATTGTTAAAAATCAATCTCAAAACTAACTAAATTGTCAGCTACATCAGCAGTCTGAGATCCAGGCTTTCATGTCATGGATACTCCCATCACAGACGTTGGCAAATATGGGGTCTGTGTTGGTCTTAAAATTATCCTTAGAATCATGGGGGGCTCATTCATTCATTTGACAAATTCTATTGCTCACATTCCATGTGTCAGTTACAGCACTGGATCCTGAGACTATAGGAGTTAACACATAAGGCAATGCAAATATAACACCTTTATTATCATATTGACTTTTCTTCATTTATTTATCCATCTGTCATTCAACACATGTCTTCATTCTGAGTACTGTCTAGGGATCAAGTGCTGTGCTAAACACTGAGTATACTGCAGATGAGAAGACTAGCCCCTCATTTTGATGTTACTACTGTCTTTTTCTTGTCTTACCAAAAAATGGAATGTCCCTTGGCCTCAAGTTTGATCTCAGATTGCAATGTAAAGAAAACTGTCAATAGGATTCTGACATGCATAGATAAATGAAAACAGAGCCCCTCTCTCATATACTCCATTCTTCTCCCCTCCAACTACCTACATGCATTCATTTTGATTGTGCCAAGACCAAGACCAGATGTGTTACAACAAGAACCAAGCTGACTTCCTCAACCCACAGACTGGGGCTATTCCTCACTTAGAACACTTGATTCCATCATGGCCCTTAATTCAACAAGCAACCAGAGAGTCATGGTGACACACTATGAAAATGATTTGTCTTAAAAGAACACAGCAAAGGGGTTAATCTGCAGCTCCACATACCTAACCTCCTGGGATTAAACCACAGGCATGGAGATCACTAAGTGTACTTAGTAACAATGAGCTAAAAATGGAAAAAAGCATCATGCTGTTATTGTATTCGTTTCCCTCCAAGGAATTATCTGACAAACACCACAACCTCCAAGGGAATTGTGAACAGCTTCCTTGTAGGGTAGGTTATATTCCCATCTTTTAAAAATAGTCTTATATCCAGTTATCAGCACACATAATTCAAGTTGATTGAATGAAATTTAGTGTTCTTACCTGATTGGAAACCTTCTTGTCCTTAATTCATTGGCTATACTGGATTTCTTTTTTATTAGAGGACTCTCAGATTTCTACCAGAAATCGCCTCTTTGGGGGAAACCAGGCCTTCCCAGAAAATCAGGAAACTGCAATAGAGACAGCAAGAGAAAGGGAAATTATCTGTACACATAGATTAAACATTTTTTAAAGTTTAAAGTAAATGTTCAAGCATATACCTTCTAAATAGTATAATAACTTAAGAGAATTTCATTGTTTATAAGTTTGAAGTCTCACAAAGTAAACACAGGACCAGAGTACAGGTTGCATTTTGTGGCCTTCAAGCCAAGCAAAGACTTCAAAAAAGGCCCAGTTACCCTTTTTTAATTAAGACACAAACAGAGGGCAAAAAAGGCAAATTCTCTAAGTCTTTTTCTTTAAAATTCATGTTTGTCTTTCAGGCATCACCTAGACTTTTCTTCAGTCTTCATCTTCAGGAAGTCAATTTGACTAAACTTAATTCTTCATTAAGTTAAACATAGAGACTTGAAGGATATTTTACCAAGATCTTCAATGTCTTTTCAAGCTTTGTCACTCACAAAAGTCTTCGGGTGTGTGTAGCTCTTTTTGTGATGGGGTGGCGGGGAGAGAATCAATCTGTTGACTGCTAATCAGTCATTTAGCAAGAAAGACATTAAGGTAAAAAGAAGCAATGAAGTTCTGAGTTTATGACTCTAAAACAATAATAGCAGTTTTCTGAGTGACTGAGAGAGCAGTCTCCTCAAATTATAGATATATCTGTTACAGACCATCTGTCCATAAATTCCATGTCAACATTAATGGACAACAAGTGACGCCATCTCTCCTTCCCTTAACTGGTTGGCCACTCTCATAGATATTATTTCACTCTTTCTGGTCATGTTCTTTTCCATCTGCTTGAAAATATCAAGATATGGGAAGATGACACATACTTTGGAACCTGTACCAGTGATGTCCCTGTAAGGAGCACAGGACTGTTAAGAGACTAGAAATACTTTGGGATTGTCTATAGTTGAGTCCCCTAGAAGCAGGGCCTGAGATAAGACTGTGAATGTAAGTTGTTCCTGGGAGGTGATTTCAGGAAACTCAAGAGTAGAGTGGGGAATCGGGAGTAGAGGCATGGAAGAAAGCCAATGGAGCCACATTCCTGAATAGGTTACATCTGTGGGGAACTGTTGTTAGCCCTTCAGAGGAGTTTTGTGAGACGCCGAACAACATATCTCAAGAGTTATCCCCGTCAATGAGTGAGAAAGCTGAAGTACTCATATCCCAAACCACCCTTATAATTGGTTGAAAGCTACACTCAGATATATTATCTTGTGCACAGTTCTGGCCTGTCCAAAAATAGATATTTTCAAGTGGTAGCACGGTTCTGTCAGTATGCACTGGAATGGTGAGTGTTAGGGAGAGGTGAATGGGACATTTGATACAGTGGCAGTCGGGTATTAATGATTAGCTTGTTAGTCCACATGGATAACCTTACTAATATAATATGGGTTGGTGGTTTACCTTTGAGGTATTTAAGTATCAGTAATAATTTCCTCTATTAAATCAAATCAAGGGTCATAAGTCCCTAATCTCATGGGACTCAAAACCATCAGTGTCTTTGATAGAGTTCTAGTAAAAAAAAAGAGAGAGAGAGAAAAAATTAATATTCTATGTGCTCTACTCATTCACTCATTCATTCAACAAACATTTACTGAACACTTAATGTATGTTAGGGAATAAGCTAGACACCAGTGTAACCATTATTAAAATCATTATCTTACCATTTAGAATTTACTCTATCGGGGCATTCAGGTAAGTAAATTCATGATTATGGTACAAATTATCACCGAATGCTATGAGCGGACACAGGCAGGACCTTAATTCATGCTGTGGGCCAGTAGTAAGGGAAGAATATTAGTAGGCCTTCCTATAGAAAGCAGTTCTGGAGATGGATATATAATGTGAAAGAGAGGTAAATATTTGATGCAAAAAGAAAAATTAATAGTGGAAAGAAAAAGAATGGTTAAGGAAGAGAACAGAAAGAAGTTTCATATACAACTGGTATAAAGAGTGCTCAGAGGGGTGTCAAGAAAGAAGACAATGGGAAGGATGGTAACAGCAGGATAATAAATGGTTCATGTATGGGTGCTAAGGATGTAGGATCCAATCCTAAGATGGGAAGCCACTGAATGATTTTAACTAGAAAATTGAACTTAGAAGAGAAGAGAGAAAAGTTAATTTGTATAACATGATCAAGTGTTTGTTTATTGTCTGTTTTAGAAAGTCACTTTAGAAATAGTGGGGATGGATTGTTGGAGAAGAGTGGTTGCAATCTCAGATGCAGAAAGATTAGCAGTCCATTAATATAAGTCAAACAACAAATTGGATATAAAATTTATGACTGGGAGTTCTTTTCTTTCAGTACTTGAAAAATGTACCAATACTTCTGGCCTCCCTAACTTCAGGTCAGAAATCTATTGTCATTTGATTTGGTGTTTCTCTATGTAAGTAATGCACTGTTTCTCTGTCTGCTTTGCAGACATTTTTCCTTTTTCTTTATTTTTCAGAAGCTTAATTATGATGTGTCTTGGCATGGATATCTTTTTGTTCATTCTATTTGGGGATTGCTCAGGTTCTTGTATCTGCAGATAGATATTTTTTCCAAACTTGGAAACTGTTTAGTCCTTATTTCTTCAAATACTTTTCAGCCTCATTCATTTTCTCTTTTAATTCCTGGACTTTGATGATATGGACACTAGAGCTTTTTTTTTTCTTATCATTCCTCAGGTTGCTGAGACCCTCTTCACTTCACTCCCTCAATAAGTCTGTTTTTCTCTCTGTTTTTCAGATTAGTAAATTCTATTGATCTGTCCTCAAGTTCATTGATCCTACACTTTGTCATCTCCACCATACTCCTGAGCCTGTTCAATGTGGTTTTTATTTTAGTCATTGTATTTTTCAGTTCTAGCATTTCCACTTTTTTTATAACTTCCATTTTATTGCTTATACTTTCTATTTTTTCATTTATTTAAGGAAATACATAATTGCTTATGAAACATGTATGTGATAGTTTATTTAAAAGCAGACAATTCTAGCAGCTGATTTATCTTAGTGTTAGTGTATGGTGTCTTTTATCATCATTTTGTGATTTCCTAGTTCTTGGTATGATGAGTAATTTTCAATTGTACTCTGAAAAGTATGAGTGCTATATGACTCTGGGTCCTATCTTGTCTTATTATTTTTTAACAGGAAGTTCTCCTAAGTTGAGGTGTAGCAGCATGAGGGCTGGCTGGATGGTAGTATACAGCTTTCCACTTGGCCCTGCTGAAACCACACCAGCACGTGGGGCCCTGACTCACATTGCATTACTGCAGAGAGATGGGGTAGAAGTTTAGCCCTCCCTTTGGGCTTGCTGACACCTTCCCAAAGAAAATGGGACAACTCATATCATGTCATTACCTTTGCATGGGAGTGGAAGCTCAGCTCCCTAATAGGCCCCCTGACACCAGGGGAGGGGGAGGGAAGTGTCAACTGTCTTTCTTCACACCATTAATTCCATCATGTTGATGTTAGGTATGGGTAGAGGCTCAGATCCCTACTGGGCCTCATGGATACCAGATTTGGGGGGAAAGTGGAATTCCTACTAGCTCCAGCTTACAATATCCTGATATTAATGTCAAGCATAGGTGGAGACTAAGCTCCCCCCACATGACTGTGTGGGGGGAGCCCAGTGGTAACTAGCCCTGTCTGGCACCACCTCCTTGTGCTTCCTTTCTGATGGGTGGGAGTGGAGGCTCAGCTAAGCCCTGAACCACAATGAAACAATCAGAGTGCTGTCTGTTAGTGAAGGGCAGGAGTAGAATGGTGTGGAAGATCAACTCCTTACTTGGTCCTACTGAAACCAAAGGCATAGGGCAGGCATTCTCAAACTATGGCCCACAGGCCACATGTGGGTGTTTTTGCCCATTTGTTTTTTTACTTCAAAATAAGATATGTGCAGTGTACATAGGAATCTTTTCATAGTTTTTTTTAAACTATAGTCCAGCCCTCCAATGGTCTGAGGGACAGTGAACTGGCCCCCTGTTTAAAAAGTTTGAGGACCCCTGGCAGAGAGGATGGATGCAATTTTTCCATTACTGTTTGGCTGGTGTAGTGTATGTTTTGCCCAAAAGGTTTTCTGTTGTTAGCAACCCTTTTCCATATACTTTGACTAGGAAGTACAGGTTTTCCTTGGAGCTTTTTGTGTCTGTGTCTGTTAGTGGTTATAGATTGGAGGTGCCTATAATGCCCTGTTTGAGATATATGGGAGGCAATAAAGAAATGGGAACTCATTGCCATGTCATTTCTCCAGTCTCAACGTCCTTAGTAAGTCTGGCTTCTAATTTTTACCTTTCAGTGTTTCTTGTGCTTGTTTGTTGTGTTGACTTCAAGGGTTTTAGTTGTAAATGAGAGAACCTAGGAGAAGCAGGGCTACTCTATCTTGTCGGAACCAGAAGTCTGGAGATTTATTGATGTTACAAAGCTCTGCTGGCTGTAAACTGAAGTTTGATGATATGCACCATGCCCTTTAGAAATGATCCTGTCAGACAATATGGCTTCCCAAGGGTTAACAAAGTTATTACAATTTAATTGTCACATTTTTAAAAGTCAAGTGGAGTTGAAATTGGCAGATGAGCAAGGGAATAAAGCTAGAATGATTCATGAGGTAATGGATTAGAGTTGGAGACCTCAATGTAAACTCATGCTTAGCTTAATATAGACACATGGCTACATATAGAAATATTTATAGCTATATATTTATGCATTGTTACTACACATGCATGTACCTCTTTGCTAAGTCAGCTGAGAAGACCTAGAAACAATGACACTTGAGTAACAATGAAGACACCCAACCTTCAGATCTTGTTGTCTAATACTACTCTCCAAAAAAAAAGGAACAAGAACTTCCTAGAGAAATGACTAATTCTAAGATGGTGACAAAAAAAATAAATAAATAAATAAATAAAAGATGAACGTAGCCCGTCTTGTAGTGTCAGAAATTAAGGAAGTGATTAAAAGAATAAACCCACATTGATTGAGTCTTGTCATAGTACAGGAGCCAAATGGAAGAGTTTGTAATGGTTTAGGTGGAACAAATTGAGCAACAAAATAAATAAAGTGATATATAACCCACAGTATAAGATAAAAATCCAGGAGTTTTCACTGATATAAATAAATGATTAAATGATTAAATAAATAAATAAATGATTAAATAAATATGGAGGGAAAATACAAAAGTCTCCATTGCAGAAAAATTCCAAATATCTTATGTAGCTACTCTACCCTAAGGAGTGGGAGCATAGCTTCCTACTTCTTAGTTTTTGGCTGAACAAAGTGACTTCATTCCACAGTACAGTCTGGAAAGAAAAACCTGATAACCACTACCTCAGCCAGGTGATCAATGTTATCATCAGCAATCATAAGTCATATTGATAGTATGTTCCCTTGATGTGATGTGACAAAATGGCTCCTTACTTCAGTGGTCTTCCTACTTAAAACATACCCTCCCAATGTTGGGAAAAGCTTCAGACAGATTCCAATATTGGGGCATCCTACAAAACACCTGACCAATATCATTCAAAACTGTCTAGGTCTTCAAAAATAAGAAAAGTACGAGAAATTGTTACAATCAAGACAAGCCTGAAAAGACATGACTACTAAATATAATGCAGTATCCTGATGGAATCCTGAAATACGCAAAAAAATTAGGTGAAAACCTAGGAAATCTGACTAAAGTATGGACTTTAGTTAATTATAATTAATATTTGTTCATTAATTGTAACAAACGTAACATACTAATAGAGGTTGTTAATAATAGAGGAAAATGAGTATAGTGTTTATGGGAAATCTCTGTACCATCTTCTCAATTTTTCTGAAAAATGAAAACTGTCCTAAACATAAACTATTAAAAAAGTCAAGTGTTTTCTTCTTTTATGATTATGTTTTTGTATTCTCTGTTGAACATTTAAATTTGCTTTATCCCACTCATATTTATGTTGAAGAAAAAAACTAAATGACTCTAAAAGGGTTGGCAACTTCAGTTCAATAAGTAATAATTCTTGGTATCAACTTTTTGGAAGAACCCACGGAATAAATCAAAGCAAACTATCTTTAAATGCTGAATTTCTTCTCAGTGTTTAATTTTTTATATGATTAATGCTTGCCACGGGCATGATTCCACTTCAGAGGGCAGTGATTATCATAAACATTGATTGTAGGCAATGTCTAATGTTCTGTGAAATATTAATGCAACATGCTGTCATAATTAAGCTAATGTATTTTATGTTTTCAATGTGATGTGTGGTTATTTCAGTCTATAAAACCTTTAATTTTATACCTTTCCTACCCGCTTTTTCCAAAAACTCACAAGGAAATGATACTATAGGATGGCATGTTCATCAATTTAAATTGGAGGCTCACTTTGTTGGCACCCGTGGTTGCCAATGATACTGACAGGTATATTACTTTTAAAATTACCTTCCATGGCTAAATCTGATCTCC